TATACATTTTTAAAATTTGTTATGCAAACTCATATTTTTTATTGCATTATTCTCCAAACCCTTTTATTTCACAAGAATCAAATATTTTTAAAGGATTTACCGCCCTAGACGGACAATTAATAGCGAGTAGCAATTTCAATGCCACATTAGTTGAACAAACAAAAGATTTCGACAAGAAACTCGCTGCGAAATTCGCACACACTGGCATTTGTCGTCGTACCCTTGCTRGTAACTTCACGAATGCTATCGCCTTCAAAGTCGCCTCCTACGACAACAAGGCATTAAGCTAGAATGCCAACATCACCGTCAGCACATGGTGACTACCTCGCGGCATTGGCGAACGCCTACTATGACCGATAAGCAGGTAGACGGCGACCATCTGGCGAAAATATATGGCCCGTAGACATTTAGTGCACAAGCTTATGCTAATGATTGCTCTTCAAAATTTGCGAAAGATAAAATTGTCTAAAAAACGATAACATAAAAGACAGACGTGTGGAGCCTTAGAAAAACGTAAACAGAGAGCATTTGTGCGGTGAAATGGCAACCGGTTAGAGGCGGTTCGGAGTCAGTTTGACAGCCGGGAAGACACAAACAATGCGAGCGGAAACTACCAGCAAGCGACTAACGCACGCGTTGGATCTACAATGAAGGCGAAAGAGCGCAGGTAACACAATGCATAAGCGTATGCAAATACAACAGTGGAGTGAATTGAGCGCAGTGGAATTTTTGAAAATGAAAAACTCACTTGATGCGACGCAGTGTCTGCGGCATGAATAGCGTGAACTTTGTAAAAAAAACGTACAAACACAACTTGTTGAGAATAAAGCAACAACAACATCTAAGCAAACATACTAAACACAAAGTTGAAATACACAAACAATATACACGATTGTAGGTATGTGCGAGCTTTCAAAGCAAAAAAATGCAAAGCCATCAAAAAAATGAGAGTAAGAGCACAGAAAACCCGAACGATCAATCCACTGCCGACGTTGCTCAGCTGCGGTGACTGACGACGATCAACGACAAGCGACCGAAAGCGATTCGGTGTCGACGAAGCAAATAAGCGCTTTGATTTTTATAAAGACACCATTTGAGCCAAGTTCGAAAACAGTTTAGTTTGAAACATCGTCGTGACGAGATAACCATTTAAAAGTCAAAGTTAGTAAAGCTATATGCAGATACGACAAAAAGAAAGAAAAACTCGTGTGTGCCAGTATAAATAGATGATTAAATTCAATTGACAATAAAACCGTTGCAGCGTTAATAAAGTGAAACAGTTATAGTGTTAAACGGTCATCAAAGCACTTTGAGCGGTCAAAAACATACGTAATAGCGGCTCAAGTTGGGTGCTATRAGCGTTTAAATCGCCTTTTATAAGTGAAGTGCGGCAAGTCTGTGTTTTGGCGAAAAACGCCAACAAATTTGAGCTCGTAAACTAGTGAATAAAGCAAAACCCTATTGAAATTTGCATGCATTCCCCGATTGTTTTGAATTGTGGCGCTAGCTCGTAATCAAGCAAAAAATGTAAGCATTCCAAAATACTATATGCATATGTGAGTTTGTATGTACATATGTATGTATGCACATACATAGTAATAGTTTTGGGTAAAAGAAAATTGTATTTTTTAAACGTAATAAGAATTGTCGTTGCTATTTCGATTTTCAATGAGGACAGTGTAATGGTTTACTGACATTAATAAATAATGGAAAAAGGAATCCTTGGGAACTTGCCGTAAATAAAAGTAAWGTAATGTTATTTGAGTAAAAAACAAACCATTTAAATTGTGAAAAATGAATTAAACATAATTTTCAGTAAATCTCAATTTATACAAATAAGATCGTGAATGTGCTGTTTTGACTTTTGCTTTGCAATTAAATGTTTGTTATAAATTTCGATTTATTTAATTTTATATTTTTTCATCAACAATTTTATTTTATCACTAGCATTCGCTGCTGCTCTCAACTAAAAAAAAAATAGTAGGTTAAAAATTATTACTTATTTTAAAAGTTTTGGATTTTTACTAAAACGTTATTATGTAAACAATATAACGGCATTTTTTTGCATTATTTTAGTAAATAAAAAATTTAACTCTAATGAAATTGCGCGGACATACGAAAACAATAAAGACATACAATACAAAAACTACCGCGATAAAAGAAAATATTCATTTTTAAAGGGTTACATGGGTTTCGTCGAGTAAGAAATAGCCTTTATCAACAATTTTTGCTTCTCATATAAATTTTATATATTTTATTAGTATTATTTATTCTTTCAAAAAAACATTCTGAAATTTTTGGAAAAAAATACTTTGAACTCGGCCATTGCGACGCCATTTCCGGAAAAAAGATGCGCCGGCGTTGGCAAGATAACTCCTCACAGGACTATGTAATGTGAGAAAATACGTGTTTTAGTTAAAACCTTGACTTAAAACTTGGACAAAAAACTAAAAATTGGATTTTTCGTATACATTTTAACAAAAAAAATGAAAATTTCAGTGAAAATTTCGCGAAATTTCTTTTTCAAATAGCATTCTTTAAGAACTGTATCTCAAATTCCTTTGCAAAATGTCTTAATGATCCGTTGAATAGTTCTCAGGAAATCTTGCCAACCGACTTCAAAACCACAGACACACAAGTTCTCAAGTCTGTATCTTCGAAACTATTACTTGGATCAGCTTGAAAAGACAATATTTTAGAAGTGTTGTAGAATTTAATAAGACAATAAAAAATCGATTTTTTTTTTAACCCGTGAACTCATATAACTTGAACTATGCAAACTTTCGCTGGTGTGCTGAAAGCATCTTTCGCTCACTGAAGAAACAAAAAAATACTCAAAATTAAAAGAGTTTTGAAAACGATAAGCTGTAAAGTCGACAAAATTAATTAAAAAAAAAAAATAAGATTTAATTTTATAATTTTTTTTTATAATAAAACATAAATAAGTTTGAATTTTATAAAAATAATAAAATAAAAGTAGTTTTGAAGCATTTAATACAGCTGCCTTAGTCTTTTAAGAAAAATTCTGTGCCATACCAACACTTTTAAACTTAGCCACGCAAACCCTACCACTATACTTTCTTAACATTTTATTCGAACTTTGTTTCTTATTTTTTTTTAGTAATTATATTATCTAATTGTAATTATAGTTTTAAATTTATTACGTTTAATGCGTAAAACACAAATTAGCTTTTCTGTGCTTATACAAAAGCGGCCCAATTTATTGTTACACCGACTAAACTACGTGTCTCAATTAAAAAAATATATATATCTATTAATTTCAATTATAAATAAAATTTAATTAAGAAATAAAAAATATCATTTTTCATCGCATGTCAGTCTCTTACATTTTTCAATTGATTTATCTATAACTGAATGTATTTTGTTTTCAATATTTTTGATTAATAACATGTCATCAACTTATTTTTAAATAAAAAAAATTCTATACCGCAAAAAGTACCGCTATAAAGTGTAGTCAAATATTTAGAATACTGGTGGTAAGGTTTGCGGGGCCACAAGAACATATTCCCTAAATTGTGTATCAAAAGTCTGCCGCTAAAAATCGTTTACTGATAAACATTTGTTTGTAGAAGAATTCCTGAGTAAAGTACAAAATGAAAAAATCCTGAATGACTAAAAAATATATTATAACGGCGTGATTTTTTATTAATATCACAACGAAATATTCCATATATATTGAATCGTGCTACATATTATATGTAAGAAAATAAAATTCTTCTTTTATTAGTTTCAATGTGGCAAGGTGCGCTTCTGGAAAACATTTTACCATCGATAATCACATACACCTACATCTTCCAAAATGTATAATATTATATAAAATTAGAGTGGAAAAATTTCATTTGTAGTATGTTATTTCTAAACATGAACATGAGCTTTAAATTTCCAATATATTCCCACTATATCCGATTTTTTTACAAAGCCGCATTAATTTACTTACTTTGATAGTATTTGTTGGTAATAAATTATATAACCCTACATCTAAAATTCAATATCCTTAGGGTATAAATTGCGATCTATCAAACACTTGCATAACATATGTATTTAAATTACCAATGCATTTSAATATACTTGTACTATACGAGTATATTTATGTAAGCAGTTAAGCAAGGAATMGCGTGCGACATTTGTTAGTAAAAACACGAACATACGAGTAGTTGTACATGTACATACATACATATACATATGTATGTATATCTAAGAACATATTTATATTAAGGCAAATTTCTTGAAACAATAATTCAATAAAATAAATTAACTTAATTGATGCAGATTGTCGTGCGCTGGCTCAAAAATATACACAGACATCCCAAATTTAGGCACTCGCCCAGCTGTCATTTTTCWTATAAAAACTTTGCAACTTCATACGCAAAAGTGTGTATTTATCATAATTAGGTAACGCTTATTACGTGTACAATAATGTAAAGGTTTTAAAATACAAGCAAATGCAAAATTATGACGTTTTAAAGTACATGCAAATGCCATATTATGCAATATATGTAAGTAATTCAAAAGTAATATGAGCAAAACTGTGAACAAAAACAAATGTCATAATACAGATACATATACATAGCTGTTGTCATATGTGAAAAAGGCATAAGTCGAGTTAAGATAATGTGAAATTATGAACTGCTTTGACAGAACTCAGAATAGTTTGCTTAAAGTTCGCTAAAAGTGAAACTAAAATGATGCCAAAGACTTTACTTTAGAAATCAAAACAGCTAACTTCGCTCAAGCTTACTTAGGCTTCCTTTACTAAGTGCCGCCGATATTGTGGTATACATAATATACAATATACCTTCATACATATGTATAAATTATTATATGTATGTACATATGTACATGAAAATAATTTTTACTTAATACGCAAAATGTTCAAATGTAAAAACATAAAAATAAAAACTCAAGAATGTTAAAAAAAAAACAGAAGCACAAAACGGAAACGTCGTCATTAATCAAATCTCATATTTCATCCATTGCAGCAAAATTCCAAGCTAAAAATGCAAAAGGAGTAAAGAACACCTAAACACAACAACTTTGTACAAACACAAACAACAAATATTTAATATAAAAAATCTGCACAAATATTTTCGCCTGAAATCTGATTACGACGTAATACGAGCAGCACGAGAATTGCAAAAACAAAAAATAACTACTCACAAATAGAAGTGAGGAAACAACAACATACACACACTTAGCAGACATTAGTGGCTGTGTGTGCGTCTGCGCGCGGATTCTACGCTAACGAGCAAATACTTTCACGACGTCAGCTGAACACACATACACACAAACGAAGTGACAAGTGACAGGTAGTCGTTTGYAGAAGTGACAAGTGCGCATACACAATGAAAACAAATCCCGCATTGGATCACGTGTATGTGAACGATGGTTTCAAGTGTTCTTCGATCAGCATTACAACGAACGGTACGGAACAGAACGGTGGTAGTGGCGGTTCGCAAGGATCAAACGAGTTTATATGTAAGTAGACAATATTGCTGAAGTGCTTGTGTTTTAGTTTTTTTGAAAATGTATAGTGTTATCAATATTTTTTTATCAGTCAAAAAATCATCAGAACCAAAACTTAACCTAAAAACRAACTTAGGTGTTTATGACTTGAAATAAATGGTATAAAGTTACTGCAAAATCGTTTATCCTTAATAAGGCCACTTAAATCAAAGTAGCTGAGGTAATTATTATTTTTTATTAATATCTTTATTATAGTCCTTAGCAGGGTTAGTCAGGCATCAGCGTATTTTCTAACACCAACGAGTGGCAACACGTTACACTTTTTTAAAGATTTTTGATTAACTCGTCGGTGTGGGGTAGCGTAGTTGAAGAATATTCCAAATAATTTGTAATTATTTCGAAAAATATGTCTTTGTTTAAGTTTTTCTCATTTTTATTGTCTTACCTTTCACTTTGAATGGCAGGAATTAAGAATTAAGAACGCGCCGTATAATTTATTAATTATTTGTATGAGTATTGAGTATTGTAGAATTATTTTTAATTCCACACTCGTTGACACATAGACATACATACAAACGTAATTAGAATAAACGACGAAATCCGAGTGATCGCCGAGACGACAGCTTAGTGTCTATAGTAATATATGTACAGTGCATGTTTATGYCACCTGTATTGTCTATTCCTCCCAGAGCAATATAAATAATATAGAGATGTAAATAATAATTTGGTAATTTAAGGGGTAACAGGCGTTTCCTCGGGAAAGCCTTTTTTATAAACTTTTGTTCTCATGTAAAAAAAATAAATATTTTATTAAAAATTTTTATTGTTACACATAACAAAGAAATTCTGACATTTTGGGGAAAAAAATATTTTAAACTCGACTATTGTAACGCCATTTCCAGGGACCCCTCGGAAAAAAGGTGAGACCCCGTTGGCAGGATAACTCTTTACGGAATCATATGAAATGAAAAATATCTGCTTCATTTGTTAAAACCTTAACTTAGAACTTGGACGATGGGAAAAAACTGAAAATTAAATATTTGGCAGACATTTTCACAAAAAACAAAAAAATGAAAATTTCGCGATTTTTTTTCAAATAGTTGCATTCTAAAAAAATTCATTGTCTGAATCTTTAAGAATTGTATCTCAAAAGCCTGTGTAAAATGTTATGAAAATCGGCGAGTAGTTCTCAAGAAATCTTGCCAATCGACGCCTAAAGCACAGTTTCGGGAAAAACGCCTCTAGCGCACAAGTTCTCAGGGTTGTATCTCCGAAACTATTACTCGGGTCTACATGAAAATTTAGGACAATCTTCTCTAAGTGCTGTTGAATTTAATAAAACCATGAAAAAAATAGATTTTTTTAAATCCTCAAACCCATGTAACTCTTAACGGCCGATATATGTATGTATACCTTTGGAGAGCCTTTAAGAGAAAATTACGGTAATTCTTAAAAGGTAAGGCAATGGAGTGATATAATAACTAAGAGAACTCGACATCATTATATAATACATAAGTGTCATACATGTCATATATTTAATTAAAATTTATATCTACTTTTAATTAAATGATTTCATTCAAAACTCCTCTCTTTAAAAAAATATTTTTTTGCAATTTTATCACAAATTAATTTTAYTGAAAAAAAGTCCATTCTGAACATGCAAGAACAAATTCATTCGAATAGCAACAAATCAGTTTTAGCGTTTGTTTGAGACACCAATAGGAGAAATAAAAAAAACAAAAATCAATGTTTAGCCATAAATAAATGTGTCATTCACCTTATTTAATGAAAGGCATGCACAAATATAGCTACAAATTTACATGTATGATTTTATGTATGCTTGTGTGCATTTGTATTCGAAAACACTGTCAAAAGCCTGTTGAACGATCTCAACGTTGGAAGTGGAAAAGATAAATATTGAATATAATAAATACCGATTATGGCTTATTTTGAATTCAGCTGTCATACAAATTGACAAATTGACAAATTGACACTTACACATTTGCACGCTTGTATCAACTATATTTGTATGTTTATATGTCAGCATAGACACAATTCCGCAGCACGCGACTTTATGTGTCAAATTGCAAATATTTTAACTGCTTTCCCTAATTACACGCATACAAAATCGCTAAGATTATACATTWGGGTTGTGCCATATTTTGCGCCCTTAAAAATAATATTTATTGTTTAGATTTTTTTTGCTCTCGCAATATAATAGTTTTGCTCATCTAACGGTTGTTTGTAACATCTGAACCAAAGTTACACATATACAGCTATTGACAGCTAATTAGATACGACATCTATTTTGAAGTAAATGATGTTATTTTCAAATAAATCATGTATATTTATTGTATTTTCGCTTATTTAATTGAAACCTATCTTAAACTTAAACTCTAATAGTAATAATTTCGTTTAAAATTCGTTTTTGTTTTGAAGATTTTAACAAAATAATGTGGAGTCAATGATTTGAGGGCAACAAATAATTAGAAACGATGTTACAAAAACTTGCTTACTTTCAGTTAGTATTTTGTTGGTTATCTCTTTTACTTTTATATTGCTTCACACCGATTCCGAATTTACGTTATAAGACTCTGAGGGCACACTGCTGGTGTTGTTTACCATACCGTCCTTATTTTATTACAAAGAACATCCATAAATGGAATATTTTTGCTGCTTATAGTTCTTTTTACATCACCCAGAGAKGTTTAATAGGGTTTAAGTCTGGGATGGGTGATTCCCACTTCAAAACATTGATARAATTTTCATTCAAAAACTTTTTTGTTAACGTATGCTACGAATTGTTATCTTTCTTATAACAGGTAAATTTTCCTCAGCCTATGGCAACATGACATTTTTAGGATGTCGACGTATTTCTCCTTGTTTAAAATTCCATCAATCATATGGAGTGAATCAACACCACTCCCGATAAAAAATCCCCACACCATGATTGATCCTCCACCATATTCAACTAGACTTGGAACATAGAATCAAATTCTTGAATTATTGGAKGACGAACCTTCGAACATCACGATTAATCTCTTAGAATTACCAAAGTACCATAGCAATGCGCTAAATACTGCTATTAAAGTGTGATTTGGCAAAAGGGATCGCTGTGGGCTAAAATTGTTGGGRAAAAAATTAGTTTAAGGGGTTACTGGGGTTTCCTCGAGTAAAAACAGCCTTTTTTCAACATTTTTTTCTTATTGTTATAAACAACCACTATTAACAAAAAAGTTCTACAATTTTTAAGTAATAAAATACGTTTTTTAGTTAAAACCTTGAGCTAGAACATTGAACAAGGAAAAAACCTGAAAATTGGATTTTTGGCAGACATTTATACAAAAAAAATAAAAATTTCAGGACATTTTTCTTTTCATATAGTTGTAATTGATAAAAAATCCTTCGTCCAAGTTTTTAAGAACTGTATCTYAAAGAGCTGCGTAAAATTTCAAGAAAATCGGTTGAGTAGTTCTAGAGAAATTTTTCCAACCAACTTCAAAAACACAGTTTCGAGAAAACGAGTTCTCAAGGCTGTATCTCCGAAACTCGTATCTACTTGAAAATTTAAAACAATATTCGAAAGATGTTGTAGACAAGTTAAACAATTGAAAAAAAGTTTTAAACCCATGTAACCACTCAAGCTATAATAACCAAACCACTGTGGTGAACAAAACTGTAGCGACATTTTGCAAGAGTATAAATATCACAAGTTTTCTCTCATATTAATTCAGTTCGGTATTTTCAATACAAACTACATCTTATTGTCCATAATAATGTATGAAAAGATACATAAATGTCTTTATATAAATCTATAGCAATTTACCCATAAACACCCACATGTTCCTTATTACAGTACGCCGCTGTCGCGTATGTGAAAATATTGAGAAATTGACAAAAGTATGTCGCATATTACGTTACCGCAAATATTTTTCACTTCTATTTTTTCCCACTTTTTACGGTTTTAGTAAAAAATCAAATTCTACACCGGTTCGCATGTCAACGCTAWTAATTGAAAGGCGGCCAGCGTCAATTCGCTGCGCTATTGAACTTGTCTCCGCCACTGACCCAACAAAAAATTATTTATATTGAGAGTTAGCGTGCAATTGTGATTGGCAGGCGTTAAGTCCTACAACAAATACAATAAATATGCATACGTAAATATTGAAACACCAAATTAGTGCATAAATAGCTAATATTGCATTTGTRCGTGGGTATCAAAAAGCCAACAAAATCGTGTGTGAAAGATCAACAACCAATCGCTTAACCAAACATCGTTTATAAATTATTTCAACGTTGCCAAGCGGTAGAAAACATATTTGGATAGATATTTTTATCAGACTTATATAAGATGTGTATATGTTTCTGTTAGGAATATTCATGGATGTTTGAGAAAAACTTTCGAAATGAATCACTCATACAGAGAAATTATTTTTTTCACATCGCCCACAAAATTCCGCTCCTACTCCCCCATAAACACTTATTAATTTACAGTTTCTTACTCAGCTCTCCTAATCAATCACATTATTTGCCGCGCATTTTATTGAGGAAATCTTTTTAACTTATTGATATAACTTCATTTACATTCCCCACAAAAACAATTCAAGGAAAAGTTCGCAATCGCGCAAGTAATGCACTTTAATAATAGGAAATCCTTAATTTTTAGTTGATAGACAATCCAATAAAATAAAGTGAGTTTTCTACTTAGTTCGAAAATCACTTAATTGCTATCATACGTCATATAATAAATTACAAGCTGCCTATTAGCTCAGCACACCCACACGATTACAAGGCGCGGGAAAATTGTTGCACACCACTACAAAGTACATTGGAATGATCATTATAATTACGTTAAAAACTGAGCATTAACTCAGTAACTGTATAGTGTGCACCCTTGGCAATGAAAATTGTGTGTAGTTAGCAAAAAAATACAAAAATAATAATAACAATCAAATTGCAGTTAGTACGCTGTAGTGCGTTAAAATGACTCATGAACTGTTGAGCGAGTGTTTTTTTCGCACACTTTTTGTTTGTGCTCGATAAATGCTTTTCCGCAACGCTGCACATGAGTTATTTTCACAGACAACCTTTTGAAAGTACAATGGACTTACGCCAGTATAAATATTTATAAATACAAACATACATACATATATTAGCTATGTCGAATTAAACCTAAACTCGTATTTATTGTTTGAGGAAAAAATATTTGGAGCGCTAATTGGAGGTCAAAATGATTCGATTTATCCGATTTCAGTTATCGAAAGTTCTGAGCGAGTCGAGTACAACCATACATTTGTTCATTATAGAAAATGGCCATTATAACATAGATAATAATTGYATACAGGTGAACCATCAAAATCAAGCTCTTGTATGGAAAACTTCTTTGCTTTATGACCCTTTTATTCAACTCTTTAGTATTTTATAACAGCTCCCTAATCCCTCATCTTTTTCTCTCTCTCTCTCTCTCTTTCTCTCGCAGTAACTGCAGACGGCAAAAAGATGATTCCACCTATTAAGACAATGGACTGTGCCAAAGCATGGGTACAGGATCGCACCAGGCGCACCTTCAACCGCAAGACGCTCTACAARCGCCTGCCCATACTCAATTGGTTACCGAAATATTCCAAAGATGATGCTGTGGGTGATGTGGTTGCCGGACTCACTGTGGGTCTAACGGTTATACCACAAGCGCTGGCGTATGCTGGTGTAGCTGGGCTACCTGCAGCGGTAAGTTGAAGTCTTAAATGAAAAAAATAAAAATTAAAATAGATTTCCTTAAAAATATTTTTTTTTTTAATTGTTTATTTTAAATTTATTTTTTATACTATTTTATTGGAATTATTTTAATTTTTTAATTTTGTTAAATCAAAATTTTTATTGATTTCTATTTGCAGTATGGTTTATATGGTTCCTTCTTAGGCTGTTTTATTTACATTTTCCTCGGCACCTGCAAGGATGTGCCCGTGGGTCCCTCCGCCATAGTGGCGTTACTGACCTTTCAAACCGCAAAAGGTTCATGGCAATTAGCAGTGTTACTCAGTTTACTTTGTGGCATTGTGGAATTGTTTATGGGCATTTTTGGTTTGGGTTTTCTGCTGGATTTCGTTTCCGGTCCTGTCTCTTCCGGTTTCACATCGGCCGTTTCGCTGATCATTGTTGCATCGCAAATTAAAGACATATTGGGTATACCGGCGCCCGGTACGACATTCCTGGAAATTTTAACGCATATTTACGAAAATATCAAAGAGACACGCGCCTCGGATACGGTGTTGGGTCTCACCTGCATTGTGGTGCTGCTGATGATGCGCGTAAGTTAAAATAAATAAATTATTTATTTAATTCCAGTCTGTTTAATATAATTATTATCTTATTTTTTATTGCCAACAGCTGCTGTCATCATTTAAGCTTGGTCCCAAGGAACCCACGCTTCGCTCGAAGACACAGAATGTACTCAACAAAATCATTTGGCTTATTGGCACCTCGCGCAATGCCATACTAGTGATTGTCTGTGGCATTTTGGGTTATATTTTACATAGCGAGGATGGCAATATACCGTTCCGTGTTATTGGCTACATTCCAGAGGGCATGCCCGCCATACAACCCCCACCATTCCATATGTCAGCCAATGAAACAGCCTCTGGGCATGAAGAGGGCTTCATTGATATGGTGAAAAATCTGGGTTCCGGTCTAATTGTGTTGCCGCTCATATCGTTGATGGAAACTGTCTCTATAGCCAAAGCTTTTGGTTAGTCTTTTAACTTAGCAAAGTTCAAAGTTTTTTTTTTAGAATTTGTTTTTCGTAATTTAATCAAATAATTTTCGACCAACAGGCAATGGCAAACCGGTTGACGCCTCACAGGAGCTCATCGCTATCGGTATTGCAAACATCGCTAACTCATTCGTGCAAAGCTTCCCATCCACCGGCGCACTGAGTCGTGGCGCTGTCAACAATGCCAGTGGTGTCCGAACCCCGCTAAGCAATATCTATTCGAGYTCTTTGGTCATACTTGCTTTGATCTTCTTCACACCCTACTTCTTTTTCATACCGAAATCAACGCTGGCGGCGATCATTATTGCCGCCGTTATGTTTATGGTGGAAGTGCGCGTAATCAAACCAATGTGGCGCGCGAAGAGTAAGTTCCGCACGCTTTTGTCCCAATAAAACGGCTTGTCTAATAATTAATTTAACTACCATTTTAGAGAGTGATCTGCTACCCGGTCTCGGCACATTCGTTGCTTGCTTGGTTTTACCGCTGGAAATCGGCATACTAATYGGTGTCGGCTTAAATGTCATCTTCATTTTGTATCACGCGGCGCGTCCCAAAATCACCACCGAAATTCTCACAACATCAGCGGGCAATGAGTATCTGATGATCACGCCCGATCGTTGCTTGATGTTCCCCTCGGTGGATTATGTGCGCAATCTGGTGACAAAGCACTCGATGCGACAGAATGTGCCCGTCGTCATTGATGCCTCRCATATTTACGGTGCGGATTTCACGGCGGCCACTGTTATAGAGTCGCTGCTGAACGACTTCGCAGCGCGTGCTCAGCTCTTGTTCTTCTACAATCTGAAACCCAGTATTTGTGCGTTATTTGAAACGCTATCGCCGGCGGAATTCGTCGTCTACTATCAAGAGGAGCAGCTGGATCAATTGTTGAAGGATCGTAATTATGAGCAAAAGAAAACGATAACGGTGTAGTGGCACCTGGAAGTGTCCAGTTGTGCTATTGTTGGCTGAAAKKTGATCGTGTTGAGTCTTGGAGACCCACACCAGAAAATGGTTGGTTAAAACTGTTAACTATTCGCGTTCGCTTTAGTTTTATAAATATTACTTGTTGGATTTGACTAGTTAATTATTTGTAAAGTATGCATGTTCGCTATTTTAAATACGTCCCTAATTTTARATATGTTTACACATTAAAGTCACACACACACACACACTTATACATATACTATTCTTGTATGTATGTATAGTTGCCTAGCGGTTTTAATTTTGTAAGCATACTGTTAAACCGAACAATGGAGTATTATTTTAGTATTGATCACCAAAAATTAAAAAAAAAAAAACAAAATGGTGTACGCTTTTACATAATGATTTATATATAATGTATAATATTTGTCAATTAATTTAAATAGATAAAAGTGCCTTAGACCTCATTTAGCGTAAAAATTTCTTTAACATTTATATTTATTTTATGAAATGCAAAGTTGTGCACTAAACGTGGAATTGTCAGAATGAAATGTAAAGTACAATACGAAAGAAACGCCAAGAGTGCTATGTACATAGTTGTAAATGCGAAACATTTTGCAGTTTGCCGAACACTAAAACTTATTTGTTAAACTTAAAATCGTAAAACTTAAATTATACATAATAAGCGGTAAGCWGTTGTTATATAACTTAGGCAGCATTCAAAAGCGCACGCGTTGTGAAATAATTACATAATTTACACAAAAAACAAACACGTACTTCGCTAAGAGAGTATGTACATATGTATATAAAAGTCCTAAAATGCTAGTGAGTCTTACCATTTAAACTTAGTTTTTAAATATCTATAGTTACTAAGTTAAGCAATTAATCGTAAATATTTAAAAATATAGTGTTAATTATGACTTAAATATTTATTAAGTAGCTGTGCAATGAAACAGAAAAGTTGTGTCCTCAAAATTGGCGAATGTTTTTTATTTATGACTTGTAAATCATGTTCTAGATTTGGATTTGGTTTGGATATAAAAGCTTATATAAAAGAACTTGRTTTTAATCGGTTAGTTCGTATGGGAGCTATACGCTATAGTGGTCCGATCTGTACAATATATTCGCATGTTGTAGCTTTGAATAATACTCCAAACTAACTTTCGTGAAGATATATGGTCAAATAAACAAATTGACAATACCCGGACTTAGTTTTCATCGATCAGTTTCTATTCCAGCTATGCTACAGTGGCCCGCAGTSAGCGATGCCTGCGAGAACAGGTCCAAAATTTCAGATCGAGAAATAAGAAATGACAGACAAGTTCGCTATATATAGACAGAGGAACAGACAGGCGGGTATGGCAGCTCGTCAATTTGATCATTTATATTTAATAGGATCTCCGATGTTTACTTCTGCCTGTTACAAGCTTTTTGGGAAAAAAATGCGGATATTTAAAGGGGGGTGGCCTGCTTCAGAGGCTTCAAAAAAATATATTTTTTTGAGTTTTTTTTTTTTTTTTTGGGAGGGAAATAAAGAATTGATTAAAGCGAAATTTGTAGGGTTTATAGTTATGTATATATTTAAACATCATCCGAAAATGTTTTTGATACAAAATCTTTTACATTTTCCTTTGGGAAGCAAAAAGAAAGTGTAAAATTCTAAAAATTTTTAAAATTTGAAAAAAAAAAATGGTTTTAGACTAAAAAAAATTTACTTTATATCAAAACTTAAACTTTTTTTTTTATTAGTTTAAAAAGAAGGTAATTTAATGCCAAAGATAATCTTTGCACCAATTCCATATGACGTTTTTTTTTCTATGCTGCCCGCTTTCTGTCCAACCTCTCATATACATATATATGTGTGTATCTGCTAGACGCTCGGTCATTATTTCCCTTCTAGCTTCGACAATATTTCGAATTCCCATCTATAACTTTGGGGAAATATTCTTAGATAATTTTTAAAGAGATTTAAGCAAAAAAAAATTAATTTTTTGAAGCTTCTAAAGCTTTCTCCCTTTTAAAGCATATTTACAAAACGTAATTTAACACCCAAATGCGTCTTTATTCATTCTATAAATGTGATCTCTTAAAATCTTTTTTTAATTCGGAACTTATTAAAAACTTGAATAGGATTACATTCATTTGCAAGTTTTGTCACAATAGTAAACAGCTGATTCSAATATCGGTTTTGCGTATGTTCGAAAAGACAAAAAGTCTTAGATTCCACAACACCCCTAAGTAACTCTTTGATATTGTTAACTATAAATACTTTAAATATACATGGACTTAAAGCATTGCTTATAAAAGTAAAATAAGAGTGTATAAATAATACTTGATATCCCATAAAAAGCAAAACAAATTTCTAATGCCTGTTATGGCCGGATATAGCGGCACAGTTAGTGCAGCCGTGGCAGCTCTGCTTTTCTTTTTGTAGTGAAATAACTGAACTTGATTATAGAAAAGAAAATCATAATAATGTCTCCATTAATTTAACTTTATAAGCAATTTAATTCATAAATCAAAACAAACAAATAAAAATTGAAATTTATTATAAACTTTACCTGCTTAAATAACTTGTATATATAATATTATGTTTTCTATTTCCGAGTTAATTCCAACGAGTGGCAACACAACATACATTTTTTTATGCGTAGTGTACATAAACAAAGTGCACGTGTGTCAAAACAACTTCACATTTTTGTCGGCACAATTTTTGTATATTAAATTTCTATTTTAACCTTTTATTTAATTAATTTACATTCATAATGAAAAGATTAAGTGACGAACGTGCCAAAGTACTGTTTGAAAAGTTGTCGAAATAGTGAGTAGATACGAATATCATAATAAAACAATAAAAACCATTATTCATTCAATCTAGCATTGGCACCAATGTGAAGCAACTGATTGACCGTCCGGATGGTACGTATTGCTTCCGAGAGCACAGGGATCGCGTTTATTATGTATCTGAACGTATATTGAAACTGTCTGAGTGCTTTGGTCCCGAAAAGCTTGTTTGTGTTGGCACATGCTTTGGCAAATTTTCTAAAACAAATAAAATAAAGTTTCATATAACGGCGCTATACTATTTGGCACCTTACGCTCAATATAAAGTCTGGGTGAAGCCCTCATTYGAACAACAGTATCTATATGGCAATCACATACCAAAATCTGGTCTAGGACGTATAACAGAGAATGCTGGTCAATACCAAGGTGTTGTGGTGTATTCTATGAATGATTTGCCTTTAGGTTTCGGTGTGTTGGCACGTTCCACTACGGAATGTAAGACTGCTGATCCAATGACCACCGTTTGCTTCCATCAGTCAGATATTGGCGAGTACATAAGATCGGAGGATACGCTATTTTAGTTTTAAATGTGTATATATGTATGTAATTTAGAAGAATAAAAACTAAAACAGTAAACAAATTTCTATCTTTGTATTAATTATACTGGCGAAGAAGTCAAAAGGGATTAATTAATATACTTTTTGCTAATATCTAAAATTTAGAATTGTGCGAATATTTTTGTTTTGATATAAAGTGTCTATGTTTTAATATTATAAATATGAGGAAACAATTAGCTAAAAAAAAAAGCTGCAGACGCGCCGTCAGCGAATTCGTGATATTTTGCCTGTGTTGCTAACTTTAAATCTAATGAAAACATCTAAGGGGGAAATATATGAAAAATGCAACATTCGCATCAATACAGCATGTTTGTTTGGTTGTTGTGTAATCCTACCAATCAGCTGTTAAACAGATGTGCATGAAAATTAGTAGGCCCTAAAAATTTATCCGGTATTTAGCATCCTAATAGTTGTGTTTCGAAAATTATGAATCTTATTAGAAATGGGAGAAGAATACTCTTAGCTGGGATACTGCCAGGTTTACCGGGCGATCCAACACAGAATGACATAGTTTCCAAAGACACAAAAACGTACAAGGCATACCTACAAAGYAAGCCTGATCTAAATGAAACTGGCTTGGATCGACTTAAGGATATGTTTCAAGTTGAGTAAGTGTGAATTAAAATTAATACGTGTGCTATGGAAAATTTATTGTTTTTTTTTTCGCAGTGAATTCGGCAGTATCTCTTCCGAGTTGAACTCTATTTATCAGGCAGGCTTTGTTGGTTTTCTATTCGGAGCAATCTACGGCGGTGTTATACAATCGAGAACAGCCTATTTGAATTTCATGGAGAACAATCAAGCGACCGCATTTAAGTCACATCTCGACGCGAAGGTGAGTAAGAAAAYTTGTATTTCTCATACATACAACTATTTTGCTGATAATGAAATTTATAGCGTAAATTGCAAGATGAAGTAACCATGAGCTTCGCGAGAGGTGGCTTTAAATGGGGATGGCGAGTTGGTTTATTCACAACTTCATATTTGTAAGCTATAAACTGTATTGTACGCGTATGTAACTTGTAAACATATATTTTTGTTTTATAGCGGAATTATAACCTGTGTTTCGGTTTATCGAGGGAAGTCTTCCATATTTGAATATATTGGAGCCGGCTTCATAACTGGCAGTTTATATAAATTGAATTTGGGTCTTCGAGGCATGGCCGCTGGAGGCATTATTGGTGGTGTGTTGGGAAGTATTGCCGGTGCGGCATCATTGGCACTTCTCTATGCATCCGGTACTTCTATGGAAGAAGTTCGGTACTGGCAATATAAATGGCGGCTAGAACGTGAAAATGTGGTGCACGAAGCAATGAAGGTAATTTGTTATAAGTAATTAATTGTGAAGAAACATTTTTGATTACATGGCAACTTTTTGTTGTTCAGAAACAAGAAGATGAGGCTTATCAAAAACCCGGAATTTTTAAGGAGCACGACGTAAAAGTAGGTGATAAAATAACCCTGGATCCCATTAAGTAAGAAATACAGTGAAACAAAATAAATATAAGTAGTAATAAATTGAAGTTGATGTACATATGTATGTATCTTTTACATATATTGCAATTTAGACGATCAAATACAACTACATTGAAGACAACATATGTACATATATGTATTATTAATTGTTAGATAAACATGATCATTTACCATTTAACTATTTTATATATTAATTATTTTATTTCAACGACAAAACTTTTAATCGATGTAATTTTAATGCAATTGAAAATCACGATATGAATTGTTTTGAAAAAGATTTTAAAGACAATTTCTTATCATTACAACGCAGTAGTACATGAAAATGCATATTTCAGTATGTATGCATATGATATACTCATTGAAGTATCGAAATATTAATATTGCACACATATGGATATGTGTATTTTCTCCATATTTTATATTTATTAATGTTTTAATTTGAAAATGCTTAAAGTCCAGTTTTTGAATTCTATTCAATGCGAGTTTATCATGAGATGGAAGAATAAGGAAAGCATTAGTCATATTGCTGCGACATGAATATGCAGCCTAGTACTTTATGATATAACTGTCCTTAAGATTGCTCTTGTGGACGAGTCAAACGTTTTGCACCGCGGTTTGGTGGGCCTTTAGGTTTTGCAAACGCGGGTCTGCTGGCAAGTTTTCTAGGATGGAGTTCTTCGAGCAGAAATTCCTCAGTCAATTCTGCACCGCTATCAATTTCTAACTGTTTTTTTAAAAATATATATTTATATGAATATATACTTAAGTAAATATTTGAAAATTGCTTACTTTTTTCACCACAGTCACTCCAAAAGCATTCAGAGTATCCAAAAAGGGAGCTTTGCAGCTGGAATACATCATACGTTCACGTACCGAACATGTATAGCCTGGCATAGAATAAATGAAAAYAAATGCCTCTTGATAGTCACCTTCATGAGTATGTTTGAAGAGATATAAATGGTAACGTGCATTTTCGTCAGGAATTTGACGAGGCAAATCACTCAACGACACCACAGCTGCTTTGGAGACATGTATACGTTCCTCTTCAAGGTCAATTCGAAATTGTAGATAGTCATATGAACCGCGAAGCAGATCCTTTATAGCAACCACAGTGGCGTCAGTCAGTGGGCAAGCAACACCACCTAAAGTTTGGTGTCGCGTGTCGGTATTGATATCGGTGTTGATTTCAGTTTTTCGTAATTCTACAAGCTCCTCTTCCCGCGTTGTTAATGGCGCTGGTGCCGCGAAGTCTTGTTTATGTCTTACATATCCTTCGAAGGTAGTTTCTTCTATTGATGTCGCATGTATTTCCTCGGTGATATGAGCTGAACCGAATTCATTTTTAAGTGTGGCTTTTGTAGATGCGTAAACCATCTTCTGTCGTATTGTGGCAGTATCTGGTACCCAGCTCAGCAGGAGCCATGCATATCCCAACGAAGTTTTACTATCCAAACGGTAGAGAATATAACATGGTACATTTTCTTCTATTAATGGACCTATCAATTTGTCATAGTCTCTTTCCCAGTCTTTCTTCACATCTACTGTAGCTGTGCAATTTAACTCCTCTGCAATCATATTATTATCACTTAATACCACTCCACACCCTTTCCCCTTATTTAACACAAAAAACTTACCATTTTCTATTGATACCTTTATCACACGTAGCTTTCCGTTTTTACTTTTCGCAAAAACTTTGGTGAGCTTTTCGTTAGCTAGAATTATTTTTTTAATTATAAGTGACAATTTTTTCGAATTGGAAATATATTACATATACCTTTTATTCCAGTTTGATGCGACATTTTTCTATTTTTGGCTTATTTTTCAATTTTCGGCAAATATCTGAATATAAATTACTCACTCCAACACACCAACAAAAATGTTTACTGCTGTCAGTGCTGCATCTTTACTTACATTCTACTTCAAATAGTGAAAGTGTACCTTTTTTCTTGCACATAAAAAACAATTTGATCAACTGGTCGTTTTGAAAAAACCTAATCATATACATGCATACATATAAAACATAAAATAAGAAAAAATCATTCCTATTTTCTTTATTTATAAATAATTATTTATTCAAAATTTCTTATTAGAAAAGTGTATACAATAAATCATAACTTGGCAGCATTAGTTCACAGCTGCTTATATTAAATATTCAGTTCAGTGGCAACGGTAAATGAATTTGATTTTATGTTTTTGTTGTTGCTGTGCTGTCATGGCGTAATTTTCGTTGTTCTGCTTAGAAAACACATACATATATTAAAAAAATCAAAATTTCTGACTAATTCTTAAAAAAAGAAAACAAATACGATAGTGTAAATAAAGAGTGCTAAGCTAAAGGTGATCCTTTGTATTATAGTCTATTTGAACAAAAAGTTCAGATAGTATAAAATGAGTGAATTCTTTAAATCGGCGATGGGCTATTTTAATACAGCCCCAAATGCCAACGTTAATGGAGATACTGTGAATAGTATCTCTGGCAGTTTTACTCCAGCAGCAAATATAACCACAAACGAGTTTTGTGGACAAATTGTTGAAGTGGCAGGATATAAGCTTCGCGTAAAGCGCATTATTGCAGAAGGTAAGAATTGAATTATTCGCAGTTTCAAATATTTTAAAAACTGATGGGTATCGCCACCTACTCACGCCTTCAATTATTGTAATAAGAATGAAAAATCAATAACAAAATGTTTTAATCAGTTGTAATTCACGCTTATAAAAACGCAAACAGTTTATTGAAAACAAGTTAATTTCAAACACAAATTCAAATTCCATCAATTTGTAAGTAAGCATATGTTGCACTATTGCAACAAACTTGCACATCTGTTAATGTATTGTTTTATCAAAGGCCATTTCTTTGAAAAAATATTGAACTATGCTATATAATATATATATATACATTAAGTACATACAAATGTTATCAAAATTCGCAGTACATTTTTAATGTATTTTTTCTATTTATCACTTGCGTTTACTTACTTGTAGGCGGATTTGCCTTTGTATATGTCGCACAAGATGTGCAGTCTGGTAAAGAATACGCCCTCAAGCGTCTCATAGGAACTGATAAACAAGCTTGCAATGCTATCATTAATGAAATTAACACGCATAAACAACTTTCTGGGCACCCAAATATTGTGGCATTTATTGGAGCAACATTTATTGATAAAACGACAGGACCTCAACAGCGTGCAGAATATTTACTACTTACGGAGCTTTGCAATGGCAAGAATTTACATTTAAATAATATAAGAAAAACATAAAACTATTATCCATAAAAATTTAGGGGGTTCACTAATTGACTGCCTAAATGTACCATTTGATCCAGCTTTGGTTCTACGCATTTTTTATCAGGCCTCACGTGCTGTGGCTCATATGCACACTCAGACACCACCAATAAGTCATCGGGATATTAAGGTGCTTATTTTATTTATTTAAATGTTTTCAGGTTATACTAATTTTATATGTATTTTTTGCAGATTGAAAACTTTCTTATCAGCAATGATAAACAACTAAAACTATGCGATTTTGGTTCAGCTACTAAGGAGACATTTGCACCCACAATTGAGTGGGGAGCCAAACAACGTAATTTACTTGAAGATCAGGTATAATAATACTTCGTTATTTACTTTGAATGGTCACAATAAATATATTGAAATTTTAAATTATAGTTGAGCTCTGTTACGACACCAATGTATCGCGCACCCGAAATGCTAGACACCTGGTCCAATTACGAAATCGGTATAAAGGTTGATGTTTGGGCTTTGGGCTGCATTCTATATGCTTTATGTTTTCAAAAGCATCCTTTTGAAGATTCCGCCAAATTGCGTATTGTAAATGGAAATTATATTCTGCCCACAGATTCCCGTTTTCAATGTTTTCATGATGTTATAAAAGGTTCTAATCAATATACTATTTGCATTTATGAAAAATTTTAAATTTTTCTTTTCCATTAGGCTGTCTTAATGTAAATCCAGCGCACCGCTTTAATATATCGATGGTGCTAGAACGTTTGGCTGCTATTTCCGAAACGAAAAATTGGTCGCTCAAAGGTGCTCTTGAATTGCAAGGAAAACCCATAGAGTCCCCACAACCAGGAAGTCCTATAAATGGCACAAACCCTGCGAATATTAGTGGCGGCAGTGTTACACGGCCACCAGCAAGTACAGCTAAAGTTGTTGAGGGTACTAGTAAATCTAGTTTCTATATGGATGAACCTACGGATAAACTGCCAAAAACGCAATCAGCTAATAATTCCGCAACCATTAATACAGCGGGTAATCCTAGTACATCCAATACTAGTTTATTCTCATCATTGCGTGGTGGTGCCGGCAGTTTTCTAAAAAATCTCAAAGACACATCATCAAAGGTCATGCAAACAATGCAACAAACCATAGCTCGTACTGATTTAGATATCAGTTACATAACTTCACGTGTTTTGGTAATGCCTTGTCCATCGGAAGGCTTCGAATCAGCTTACAAAACTAACAATATCGAAGATGTGCGATTATCCATTGAAAGTCGGTTTCCACCGCAAAAAGTGAGCATTTACAACTTTGGCCCCAGCAACTGTCCACGTTTACCACCGCCAGTGCGCACTGTCGAAGTCGGTTCAATATATGSTTGCCCGCAAGCGCATTCTCCTAGTTTGGAAGGTATATACTCGGTTGTCGAAGACATGTACGGTTTCCTAAAAGCCGACCCTAAATCGATAGTCATTCTACAAACGAGCGACTCGGGCGGTTGTTCTGCCGCAACAATAGCTGCGGCAATGCTTATGTATGCGAACTTAATTAATGAACCCGAAGATGCAGTCCAAGTATTTGCCGTAAAGCGGCATCCACTTAATCTGCGAGCATCCGAGTTCCGTTACTTATATTATTTCGGTGATATTTTGCGTCCAACACCACTATTACCACACTACAAAAGTATCAACTTGGTTTCGTTGTGTTGCCAGCCAGTGCCGCGTATGACAAAGGCGAGAGATGGTTGTCGCATTTATATGGAAGTATACTGCAATGATCGACTGCTGCTAAGCACTTTGCAGGATTACGAAAAAATGAGGTGAAGATTATTGTGATATTTTTTTTTTTTAACAATTAACCAAAAATGAAAAAATATATTTTAAGGTTATATTTGTCGGGACCTGGCAAGATAACACTGCCCATTAATTTAACTGTTTGCGGTGATCTAATAATTGTGCTTTATCATGCGCGCAATGCGCTTAAGGGTATGGTGCGTCCACAGAGTTTAAAAATATGTCAATTTCAAATAAATACTGGATTCATACCGGAACAAGAAACATTGATCACATTTGCATTGAACGATTTGGACGACTTACCTGATGTCGATCAGGTGCCACCAGACTTCTGTGTTTCACTTTCCATAACTTTCACGGACAACGAATGCCCGCCAAGCAGAAATCCTCCTTGGTTGCCAGCCAAGCCAAAACGCAACGCACAACATCTCTTCAGTTCACAGTTGGAGTTCGAAGAAATGGTGGATAATTTTGGTAATTTTTCAAACACAAATTTAAAAAATTGCAGTACTAATTTCTAATTATCTCCGTACGTACGTTCGTTATACATGTAGTGACGAAACCAACTTCCAATCAACAAACGGCGGCGACAAAACCGCAACTGACAACACATGCTGTACAAAAGCCCTTACGTCCCAATACACCGCCTATTTTGCCGGATGTTACTGAAATACGACATGAGTATGCACAACGTACCCAGCCAGAAACATCGCCCCCAATAGATTTGCTTAATCTGAATCAGCCGCAATCGCAGCTGCCAGTACAAGATCCACAAGCAACAGCAATGCCAACGAGCGATGCTAGTTTTGACTTACTTGGCGCATTTGGTGATGACAACTCATCTGGTATCGGGTCGGCACCTATACCGGATATTTTAGGTAAACAAATTGATTATTTTCGATTTATCGATATTTATTAAAGTATATGTTTGTAGAAAACAATGTGCAGCCCACATCAARCGCCGATTTGGATGATATTTTCGGCTCGGTTGCCTCAGCCGCCCCCAAAATCAGCGTAGAATTCAATAGCTTTGGTGGAGCTCAGCCGACACTCGCTGATACTGACGCAACCGCTAGTGCAAGCACATCCAGACCTAAAGTAAGTCCAACTCCGGCAACGGGGGCTTTCTTCGGGTCAGTACCAACGTTCAATACAAACAGCAGCAAGGAGCCATCACCCCAAAATGTTAGGGTAACCAAAAATTGCAAACCAAACCAAAAAAATACTAATTTGATATTTTTAGTCAAAAGATCCATTCGCTGACATTGCCAATATGGCCTCTGGTCTCAACATCAACTTCAATCCCCACACACTAGGCAGTAAATCAACAGGTGCTACACCAATCGGTACCAGTCCTTATACCACACAATTCTCTAGCCCCACACACAACACAAACAGCGTAAGAACACCACAACCATCACAGCCAACAACGGCTTCACCGAATCATATGAAATCACCTAGCGGTGTTGGTAATTTTGGTGCATCGTTTACAAGTGGCTCAATATTTTCCACGCCTTTGGGTCAAAACTCGAACCGGCCGTCACCTCAGCCGACTGCAGCTTCGGCTGGTGCAAATACGCAATCTAACCGGCCAGATTATAGTCGCTCCAACTTCGATACTTCGAAACCCGCACAGAACACAGGCCCACAAGCTAAAAACGCTGACATCTTCGCTGACATACTGGGTGAACAAGGTTACAAATTCGGTAGCAAAACAAATCAAGGACCTCGTTCCATTAATGAAATGCGTAAGGAAGATCTTATAAAGGAAATGGATCCGGAAAAAGTTAAAATTATGGAATGGGTATGTGTGTGTTTACGCAAATTTCTTTTGCATGCACGAAGTTTTTATTAATTGATAAAATATATTTTGTAGACCGAAGGCAAGAAGAGTAACATACGTGCGCTCTTGTGTTCCATGCACACGGTGCTTTGGACAGACGCAAAATGGACTAAATGCGAGATGTCCACACTCATTACGCCAGCCGATGTAAAAAAGTCTTATAGGCGAGCCTGCCTTGCAGTACACCCAGATAAGGTGAGCCAATTAACACTTACAACACATTAGTATTCGTTTAAAGACGTATATCTATTATTTTTATCACAAATTATAGCATAATGGCACTGAATATGAGAGTATAGCTAAATTAATATTTATGGAGCTGAACAACGCTTGGACTGATTTTGAGAACGATGCCACACAGCAAAATATATTCAACACGTAAAATGCATAATGCAAATATACAAAATAATCAGCTCGGAAAGYAAATCAATTCTTAAGTGCATACAAATAGCTAATATAAAGAAATTTCAAAGAAATTTAGTTTATACTTGAGTATAAATTTCCTTAAACTAGTTTTTAAATAACTGGTAACGCATGTATGCATATATAATTGATTATAAATCTTTAACTATAAGTTTCGAGTAATACCATCATACCAATTGTATTCATATACATTTTTTTTTTTTTTGCAACAAGAATTCTAAAATCTAATAGCCAATGTTTATTTTTACAAATGGTCTGAACAATTTACTTAATTTCTCTACTAAGAAAATGCCTTAAATAGTTACTATTATTATGAAATTTTTTATTTCACAATCGATTTAAAATCAAACGGTCGATCTACTCAAAAACTTTTTCTATTGAATAGTTTAAAAAAAAAATTATTATTTTTTTTTACAAATTGTGATTTGAATACAAAAAAAATTGGAATTTAAAATATAATTTTCTATTTGTCAAACTGCTTACAGTTAACAATAATCCGCAAGTGTGAGTGGGAACTCAGTTTACCATATCTTTGAAAAAATATTCTTTAAAATATTTTTAATTAAATTATGAATCGACTAACGGATTTGAAAGGACTAATTATTAAAAAAAATATATATATTATACAACTTTATTTTTTCTTTCGATTTGATAAGTTTCTTTTAAAAATCTAAGTGATATATGTTAATACTTATGAAGAGAGTTGAGTTTGCTTTATATTTTTGATACTTCTGATTCAACAGATAGATAAAAGTTAAAAGTGTTAACAAGAAAAAAAAAAAAATTACTGCAATTCACTTCTTTGAACTTAGTTTTTGAGCAATTATATTTGTAAGCCTGTTTCGCGTGATCTTTTAACTCGCCTTCATTTATAAAACGTAAATTCCCTATATATTCATGGCGACGAGATTAATTTATAACAGCTGAATTCGTGATGTGGTCGAATTCCAAAACCACAAAAAAAAAAATAAATATCTGTACAACCATAAGTTATTGCTAGAWGTACGTATGTATATTAGTAAATAAATTTAAGTTTTTTTCTTCCGTACAATTGATTTGATAATATGAAATATACATTACATAATTTTTTTAAATAAATTAAGTATTAAATACAAATATATAAATAGGCTAGCGCTCTATATATATTTTAAACTTAATGCAATCAAGATATCTAAGTGCACCATTCCAAAATAATTGCATATTTAAATAAAAATGCAAACTTGTGTATCTTTCTCCGAGTGCAATTCGTAGCCTCTTATTATAGCAACATACCTTAGTAAGGATTTTCCTATATTTTTACTATTACTTATATTTACATAAAATCTGCATATAAAAATGGAAGAGATGAAAACGTATCCAATTATTTACAAGGAACAAGTTCAAATATATTACATATTATACAATATGTATGTATGTACGTAAATTTTATTGAACACATGTATTATATATGGTGACTGCTCACAATATAGCCAATGCTCAGACACCCATATTTATGTATGTAGATATTTAGGGTAAGTGAGATGAAATTTGACATTTATAAGTAGTAAATGGCAAATGCAATCATATTAACTTGCTGCATACATATTACATATTTTTGTGGAGTTGTATTAACTGAAAAATGTATAAAATAAAATAAAAGCTGACAAAAACGTATACACATATTTGATATTTTATTATACAAATTTAAATTATAAAATAAATCAAAACATCCCAAATATGTTCGAAGTGACCGTTAGAATACAAGAATTGTGCTTCAACCTGTATCATACCTATCAGGACGACGACAATATCACAAAAAGTCAACCGATATAATTAATGTTTCCCACTTAAATACCTAAATGGGCTAACTCTTGGTCGGATATAATCTGGATGCACTTCACCCCCTCTTTCTTTATGGAACTTTTCGCGTGCAATCCTAATATTTATAGTCGCCTCAGGCTCCCAACTTCGCAAACATTTTCAAATAGACCGCCGGTTCGGTGATATCGGAATTATTTTAACAATCTAACCCTGTATTGATCGGTAAATAACAACCACTAATATATAAATCCAGTTATGATCCGCTTACGTAGAAGTAACTACAAAAACAGTGCATGAATCGGTCTCAAGGTATACTGTACAGAAGGCTGATGAAGTGGTCATTACCATACCAGCAGGTTGGAGCGGCTGACAAGCCACTAATTAAAGAGCTGTCAAAATTTTCAAGGTATTTCTGATAAATAAATTTGTAACACCAATCAAATGGTCGTATTTTATAATATGCCATTCAACTAGTCTATGTCAATTCTACAATTAAATAGATAAATATGTATGTATATATACCGTGTGTTCGAAGTTATAATTTCGATTTCTAAGTTTAATCAGATTTAGTCGAATATAAGTATATACAACTGCTGGTCTATGAACGAAAATATTCGTGGAGGGCATAAAATTTTGGAAACAAACATATTGTTTTGCAAATGTTGTCACTGCTATGTACAGTGTCTTTTATCCAAGTTCTTCACCTTTTGTAGCTTTGCAGTTCGCAGAGATGTATTTGAAAGTGTGATACATACTATTTATGCGTTAAGGCATATGCATTGATTAAAATTTATTTTGAGTTTACCTGATTTTAATAAATTTGGTAATTGCTATAATATTAAATGACTGCAAAAGTGCACAATATGAGTTCAAGCTTCGTATATACCCGATCTTATTTTCAGCTGAAGATTTAAGACTAAAAAACCCCTTGCAACCACTTGCGACACCTTRGGGTACGATTTGTTAAATTCGCAAATACTCCACTTTTATCGCTCCGTTGCATATTACAAGTAACAGGAAAACAGTTTAGTAGTCTTGGGGTGTTCTTCTTCAAGGCAGGTTTCATTATTGAGAAAATGGCGATAGGACTCAAATCGTTAAGAACTACAATAGCGGATATATCGTGCATTTTTGATAAAGGAAAAGAGTAAATTTCGAATATTTATAAAGTGGAAAGTGATTAATAAATGTTGTAATTGTTTTTTGGACAAATCTAAAAATGGAAAGTCTCGTTARTAAAGGTAAAAATAAATTTGTGACACAAACGCACAAAGCCACTCCTGCACTTAATCAAACGACGGAAGACGACTATTTAATTTTTTTCTATTTCACTTTAATGCGTTTGTCGTTTGGATGGCTGATGGTGTAGTTTTGTGGTATTGCTAGCGTGTAGTCGCGCAGGTATTTTACTTTTTAGGCAAGGGYTTCGTGTTCAATTTTTTAAAACGTATCTAATTAAAAAATGTGTGCTCTTAAAAGTGATTTAAATGACAAAATATRAAATATTAGAATACTTTTTAATTACCTTTCCAATTATTTGAGTGGTATTTTTTACTTAATGATATCCGGTTATAAGTCAGTTCCGATTTCCATATCGAACTTATGACATAAAAAAAGCTTAAGATATTAAGTGGTATATATGAATAATGTTTATAATATTTGTTTAACTAGAAGACTACCTATTGCTATTTGCTTTATGAGCACACATCTTTGCCAGGAATAGTTAGGCATGCATTTTCTAATAAGGCTTTGCTTTTCTTTACTTATCACATAAATAATTTGAAAARTTGTTGAAAAGTGTTTTATACCCAAAAAACCCTATACATATAATATATTAATTCTGAGTTGTATGGGGAAATCAAAAACAAATCATATTTTTTAAAAACATTGTTAATATTTTTTATGAGTTGTGATATTAACTACAAAAGCTCAATACTAACTATTTTTTAACAGTATATGTAGATACGTACATATACAAATATTACATTCGACTTTATTGGCTTAAAAAATAAAATCTTCCCTCCAATTCTTCATACAGTGAACAGAGTATCAAAATATCCGTCTAGTTATTATGAAAGATAGTTAATATTAGTAAACTTAATGAACAAACTCAACTAATAGTTAATAATTTTTTCATGTTTAGATAACTTTGCGCAAGAGAATCAAAAAAAATCAGTAAACTTRGAAATTGTTGATGTGAATACATTGGGCGTAAATGCCAACGCTACTTCTCCCRATAATCATGTTTCCGAGCAGCAGCAAATACAAAATCAACCACAAAAGACAAAACGCAAACACCGGCGTGGCAAGCCAAAGCCCAAAAATGCCAACAAACCATACAAAAATTGGAAATTTCAGGTACCACGACCAAATTTYAATGGAGGTGGAATGAACAACAGGAATGGAGCACGTCCTAAAATCCTGCGGTCACGATCATTGGTGCCATACAATACGAATAAATTTCTTATGGAAGAGCATTTGGCGGAAGTGCCTAGTTCGCTACTAACACCCTCTGGCCGTACACGTGATTCAAGTTTTTCTGTCGATTCAGAAGATAACTACTTCTTCTCATTGCCAGAAGATGAGGAAGAATTCCTAACAAAGGAGTTTGCTAATGTCTATGAAAAAGCTCGTGTTGAACGATTGGAAAATTTGACTAAACAACAACTTATAGAGGAATGYCTGCAAATTGAGGATCGATACTCATCAGACCAAGGACGTCAACAACAATTAAATGCACAACGTATTAGTTCAGAATTTATGTCAAAGATACGGATTTTGGAGGAAAAAGTACGAGAACTATCACGTGAAAATTATAGTAAGCACTGAAAGTACCTTTCCTTTAAATAGTCAACTTAACACATAATTATTTCATTTTAGATTTACGATGTCAATTAATGCGCTCAGCGGCAATGGCCGTTGCAGCTTCGCCTCCCTCTGCTGCACCACCCACGGGGGCTGCTTTTCAACCAACGCCAATGGACTCTTCTAGTGTTGATAGTGAAAGTGATAGTTCTAGCTCTTCCTCTTCATCGTCTTCATCTAATAGAAGTGCAGGACTCCAACGTAATAATAACATACGACAAAGACGAGTTCGACGTAGCTGTTCTTCACGTAGTTCCTTAAGTGATTATCGAGCTTCTAATGAAAATGATCAAATGGAAAGTGATGAAGGATATAATATAGTGAATGGTGCTAATGCTATTGACGTAAATGCCGAAAATAAGTCTCAACGAGCTTTGATAGATTTTAATTCTGAAGAACCCCAATCAAATGCAAACGATAGAAGCATTGTTGTTGATGCAGAAATGGAGGATGACTTCCCATCATTTTCACCTATTTTAGATAGTGTAGATACCGCACATTCTTCGGAGAATACAGCAGCTGCTTTAGAAGTCCCTCAATATAACAAAAATGTGGAAGGAACCGAAAGCGGCGAACAAATTTGAACACAATATCGTGAATATAAGTATTTGTAAAATTTTTTTCATATTCTTTGCAGTACCATTTTGCTAAAAATCTAAACATGACAATTATAAGCAGTTATTTTTTTGGTGTTAATGAAGCTTTCAAACATAAAGTGAACCAAATTGTGTCTAAATTAAAAAAATCTATATTAAATAAATAACGTTGATCATGTTAATGAGGCTTAAATAATTGTTCTAAGAAAATTAGCAAATTTGTACCTAAAATTTCATTAGTTTTCAYTTTATTGTGTTATTAAATTTTGTGTGTACGATTATTAAGTCCATTTAAATTTCGGCCGGAGACTTAAATATTAATATATGTAATATGGAAAGCCTTAAACGTTTTAATTAAAAGTTAAAAATTTCA